CACAGCCTGCAAAACTTTGGAGTCAGATTTTCTATTAGATTTTAAAGCTAATGGCTTACCTTGCTTTAGAGGTTCATCTGCTTCTAGCTCTATCTCATGACTTCTGAGGGAGCTGACAAGTTCCTCCAGAGAGATTTTGTTGAGATCTTTGGCTAGCTTAAGCGCTGTGACCATTGGCCTCCACCGTTTTGGCAAGCTTCTGATGATCTTCTTAACATGATCAGCAGTAGAGTACCCTTTGTCAAGAACTTTTAGACCAACAACAAGAATTTGAAATCTTGAAAACATAGTTTCTATTGATTCACTATCTTCCATCTTGAACGCCTCATACTTCTGGATGAGTGCAAGGGCTTTGGTTTCTTTGACTTGAATGTTGCCTTCATGCGTCATTCTCAGAGAATCAAACAAATTCTTGGCAGTTTCTCTATTTGATATTTTTTCATATTCTGAGTATGAGATGGCGCTGAGGAGAATTGTTCTGGCCTTGTGGTGGTTTCTGAATTCACGCTTTTGCTGATCAGACATCATTTTTCTTTCTATCTTCTGACCACGTCCATCCACTGGATGCGTGTATCCATCAGTCACCATGTCCCACAGATCAGCATCATGGGCCAGAAAGAAACTCTCAATTTTGTCTTTCCAGTAATCAAATTTCTCTCCATCAAAGACTGGAGGTTTGCCACTGAATCTGTCCTTTTCTTCATTGTTGTCATTGTTGATGTTTTGACTTGGTCCTACCATAGTGTTTTTCTGACGCTGGATCTTGTACTGACACGGTTAAGTGTTTAAGCTCAGAACCAGGCGCTCTGATGCCAATTGAAGATGTAAAAAACACAAGAAGGGGGGTTGAATTGAAAACTTAGATAAAAATAGCTTAATGACATAGTATTTTTATCCTGGTTCGTTTGATCTCAAACTACTCCAGTCCACCCGTCAAGGTGATTTCGCCTTTCTCCAACGAGGTCTTAATCCACTAATCTCAAAGGATTACAACAACTACTTTAACAACTGTTAAAGTCTTCTTGAGTACAACCACAAACCGGTTAATCTCAAGGAAATCTTTTACAAATAATTGAACAAGAAAGTGTTGTTGTTTTCTAACAAAACAATATATCACAACTGTGATAATTACACAGGTTAGGCTTATAATAGAATAAATTTGCTAGAGCTTGAATATGCGTGGTTTGGAATTCTCTGCAAATTGATGTGTGCGTACGTACGTGCTTCTTTCACAAGCAGACTTGTTTATATAGGCAAGCAAGAGACGTTGTCCATAAAGCAAGTTTAATGTTAATAACACACTTTCCTTTTGTAGAAGATCTTGTCTGAAGAAAGTTGTTGGCATTAATTATGTCTTGAATAATCAGTAGCGCTTCAGAGTCTTCTTTATTTTAACCGTTGATGACGCTTCAGAGTGTTGATGGCTTGGTTGATATGTCTTAGTTCAGAATCAGAGTTTGTTGTCATTAAGCGCAGGTTAATGGTCACCAATCTTCAGCATATGATCTGATAACTTCAGCGTGAAATCTTTTATTGCTCATCTTCTGATGTTGATCCCATCAGAACTTCTGCATATACAAAACATAATTTTAAGGAGCATATTTGTTCTTTGTATATATTTCTTTGTATTTATTTATTCTTTGTATTTGTTATCATTAAAACTCTAACCAAGGGTTGTAGAATCAAACTATGTTCTAACAATATATGCCACGAGCTTCCCGTAGGAAAGCTGGTCTTCAGCATCCAACTCGTCGGGCTTCAAAGCATAGGCGTCGACAGTCTTGTCAAATGGATCTTCTGCCACTCAAGAGGGAACTGCACTTGAAGCCTCATCACCTTCCTACCATCCTCAAACTCTTACACACTGTCATATATGGAGTCCACCACCGCATCTGAAAGAGGTTTTACGACGTAATACCTGTCCTTGAAGGAGCAAATGAAATATAGATACATTCTGAACAACTTCTTTGATTGTTTAAACGACACCCAACTATGACGATCGTTGGCAGGCTGCCTCTGGAGATTGAAAATTGTGAAAAACAAAGGGAGAGTAGAATCTATCTTGAGATACCTGCATACGAGCTCGAATTGCTAAGCAAACACGAGCTTATTCAGATGAATCTAGGATGAAGCTAACTTCATCCACATAATGATGCCCATCTAGAGACCGCTGAAGGGCAAGCGAATCCCCGCCTCTTTGAAATTAAATTCATACACCGGGAATCGAGTCCCAGGAAACCTCGAGCAAATCCAGTTGGTAGGCTTATGGCACAAAGGCGTCCAAGACGCATGGACATCCTCTTTCCAGACCTCGACAACATTAAAGGCGTCAGAAGAGTTAAGGAAAAATCTCGAGGCAATATCCAAGGGTTCGGGTCCTACCCAATCCAAGTCCCCCTACCTCCTCTACAGGGGCTACTTCCTCGACAGGAGGACCATTTTCAGCATTTTGGGCCATCGTACCTAAAAAGCAGGGGAAACATTGAATTCGATGGTAGAATTAAATTCACCCTTCCACCGCAAATCAAGTGAAAGGGTGGAGAATTGATCGAGGATATGTCCTCGATCAAAGCCCTTTTCGGCGACCATGGGAGCGTGAAAAACATCTCCCCAACATAACATTCGACAAAGGGGGCGAGGATCCACTCGACGTACGGAGAGCAGGAATTTCCGTTCCCCTCCGGGGGGAACCTCCCTGTCACGTTTCCTCGAGAAATTCATGAAGGAATTAAGAAACTCATGTGCTTCATCAAGAGATTCATGAGTTTCATCAAGAAACTCGTGAGCTTCATCAAGAAACTCATGAGCTTCGTCCGGAAATTCGTGAGTCTCACTAGAAAACTCACGAATTTCACCGGGAAATTCATAGAACTCACCAGAAACTTCATAGGATTTGCCAGAAAACTCATACATTCATAGATAAATAAAAGATTCACAAAGAAAATCCTAAAAACTAGCACAAAGATAGAACGCTTACCAAGGAAAGGAAACAAGGACAAAAACGAGCGTGAGTGCAGCAAGAGGAGAGTGAAAAATGGTAAAATCTCAAATGAATCTCCTCTCACTCTTTTATAGCCAAACTCTCAGCATGGGCGAACGTGCAAAAAGACATCATTGACTAGGCCCTAGGCCATCACAGGCTAGGGGCATATTAAATAGCCATCACGCATGGCACTCGAAACAATTCAATGTTTGTTATCCCAAGACTCGCTGATACACATTCTCACGCGCCAAGCCAACTGACTAACTCTCCATATTCCCTTAGCCGAACACTTCCTCGCGACTCAGTTCTAATGTCTCGAAGTTGAGCACAAACACAACTCATCCTCGATATACTTTTCACACTATGCGTCAGGCATGACCTCGTGAATGAACGTGGCTGGGCCACAGTCGAGCATAACCAACCATAAAAAATGATGTCGAGCAGAGGCTCCTCGCGTGCAAACTCGAGAGTTTAATGATCTACGTTGGTAAGCATTAAGACTCAACTCGATCAAAGATCCCGCAGGCCCCTCATTCGGGGATTCAAAGGAGAAGTCACGAGCAAATACAGTCCCATGGATGCCCGACGACGGCTGACCTCCCATCGTATCCTTAACGCGCGAGTTAACTCTAAGTCATAGCTCTTGCACCTAGAAGTAACGACTTGAGAGGCTCATGTTCTAGACTGGACCGTAGTTGGCCAACTGTAAGGCATGGCCCAGTCTAGCACCATCTCAAGAAAGGCCCAACGTTATGGCCCAAGTAGTCATGACCGTTAGAGAATTACTCCCACGTGCCCCTCCAGGGACAGATGGCCAACTTCCCAGAATCTCACGGAACTTCTTGCCCTACACGAAGAACTAGTCTTCCACTATTCGAGGATCGCATGACAGTTGACTCAGGATCGTGGACACATGCTGCTCCACTCCACTCACGTGAATCTTAATAGTCTCCATATTAGGCCTGAGCACCTGACTTAAATGGAGACCTTAGCTCAACGCTGGGGCTATAAATACTCTCTCACTAGAGGGTCAGGTACATTCACGATTCTACTCTTAACTCTACTTACACTTTCACTCTGAACCTCACTTTGACATCGGAGTGTCTTGCAGGTACCCCCATTCACTTCAACAACCGTAAAAGTTAAGTGTTGAAGACCATTGGCGATCTATTCTGATCAGATACGATCATTATTCAACTTAAAATCATTCAGAATCTATACCCATAAATAGATTATTTATACTATACCATATTATAATAATCTCATAGTTTTAAATTAAAATGGACAATATTATATTATAATAATCTCACAATGGACAAATTTGCCACCTTAATAAGAAAATTGCAATGCTTGTGTGATAATAGTACTATAAATCTAAATTACTTAAACAAACAAATAGGAAAATATAGAAATAAAAGATTATTATTATTACCATTAAAGAAGTGTTTAGACCAAAAATAAAAATTAAACAAAATGTATTATTTAGTTTTCATATAAAATTATATATTTAATGTATTGAGAATTAAAATATTTAAATTTTTTAAAAGATAATTTTTTTTACTATAAAAGGGTGCTATAAAAATATTAATTAACAAGACTTTTTTTGTTTGTTCCTAAATAACACTATAGATTTATGACTTTTTTCTCTAGAAAAAACCGACACTGTTCGATGAAATGACTTAGTAATCAAAACGGACGGCATATAGTCGTTGCCTCCGCGGGCCCAGGAACGTGTCCTACCAGTTTGAATTCAAATAAAATCTACATAACGTTACGATTCCGTACCTAAGGTTCGGAACCCAAAGCTAAACCCGAACCAAAATACTACACTACTGTCACCATTTCCAACTTATCAAATCACACTCTCTCTTTTTCATTTTAGATTTTCAGTTTGATTGTGTTTCTTGAAGAAAAATGTCAAATTGCGTTTTTTTGGATTAAGGATTAAAGATTTTAGGTTTTTTTTTCTCTTCCTTTTTCTGCTATTGTGGTTGATTTTTGATAGTTGATGATCATAATGGAGAATTCCTCAATAAGTGGAGTTCATGATTTCAATATGGCTTCAAGAAAAGCTGGAGAAGCAGGTTAATTTCGAATGTTTTACATAAATCAATCTGGTTCATTATTACAGTATAACTTTTGATTTTGATTGTGTTGCGTGTAACAATGTTGATTTGAATTGTGCAGCATTGAGACGCTATGAGGCAACGCAATGGCTAGAAAGTCAAGTTGGTCCTCTCGGAATATCTAAGCAACCCTCGGAACGAGAACTTGTTTCTTGCTTGAGAAATGGTCTAATTCTTTGCAAGGCCATTAACAAGATTCATCCCGGAGCAATACCAAAGGTATTGCAATTTCAATATTCCATGTTTTGGTTAAATGGAATGTTCTAATTGAGAATTTTGGCTGTTTAAATATGACACTTTATCTTTAATTTTGACTTGTATATGATATGTGATGTTAATTTTGTTAGATAGTGGATAGTCAAGTACCAATACAATCACTTGCTTGGGATTCCCAGCCTTTGCCTGCCTATCAGTATTTTGAAAATGTCCGCAACTTTGTTAATGCTGCCGGAGAATTAAAGCTTACAGCTTTTGAAGCTTCTGATCTTGAAAAGGTATGTTACTTATACGTGCCACGGCCCATGTTTTCATATATGTGTGTGCAAACAGTGTAGTGCTTATTGAAATGACAGTCACATTGTTGTTCTTCCTATAGTAGAAACCACAGTCAAATGTGGTTATGAGGCCTCAATGGAGGTTGCATTGTGGATGTGGTCATAGAGACATTATTAGTGTGGTGGCTTAGGTCATGTCCTGGGCATTGTTTTAAAAGCCCTGAATAAATTTAGTTGCTTTTTAAGCTTTTTGTTTTGGTTTTAGATTAGCATGGTTGAACGGTGTGTTGGTCATTTGTTTGCAGGAAAGTGTAGAGAATGGATCAGCTGGAAAGATTGTTGATTGCATTCTATCACTGAAATGGTTTCATGAGTCGAAGCAGATGAACAATCAGAGTGGATCCAGCAAACGCTTGAAGTCTCCTTTAGTTATGCAATCAATTAGTAGAATGCAACAAAGAGCCGCAACTGCATTACCCTCTGAGGCTTGCAGGCGCTTGGATTTGTCTGCAACATCTGAAAAAAAGCCTCCCGCTGAGAGTAGTTTTCAAACTCGAGAAGGTTAAATTTTCAATCTTACTAGCCCATATTAGTATCTGATTCAGTGATTTGAATTTGAATTTAATTTTTAAGCCTTTAGTTGATGGCTAGCAGCACAGTATAATATTAATCACGAGACTCTGCCAGTTGGCATTTTGCACTTTTAAGGATAATTAGTTCAGAATGCTGGAGACCTTAATTGATATGATCCTTGGTTGTATAATTAAATATGTAGAAATTTACTATAATTTTCACTAGTTATCAAATGGAATGTTTTTATTTGAAATTTGAAATCACAACATTCAATGCATTAATGAGTAAAAGCTGTACCTTCCATTGAAAAAAATCCTGCTTTCGATTTTATTTTCTTCAGTTGCCTTGTTATAAATTTTCAAACCTAAACTCAAAGAACAAACGGCTGAAAATATTTTTGACTTGTTGTGTACATCATGGGCTAATTTTCTACTTTAATTAATACTTAACCTTTTCCATGATTCACTCATTTCTTACCATTGGAAAAGTAATAAGTTAAGATATTTTGCTCCATGGCAGTGGACCAAAAAAGTATGTGTGAGTATGTGTATATTTTGTTTTGATGTTTATCTATACAGACCTTGATAAACTGTCCATACATTCCCAATTTCACTTGGATAATTGTATTCATGCTACTGCATTCATCAGTTGCAGCAGAAAATATGGAATCACTTGTCAAGATACTAGTCGACCGAATGCTTGATGCCAAAGAAAATGTCGATGGAAAGCTTGTTGCTTCTATTTGTAATGGAGACCTGGTAATCTTAAATTAGCATTAACATATTGAAATATATTCCCCAGCAAATGAGTATTTTGCCTCCCACCTAATCGTTACTTATTTTTTTACTGCAGGATCCAATAAACCTATTTAATCAGGTTTTGGCTAGTTGTTGTGGGGAACAGCCATCTACGAAGTTCCCTGAGGTTAGTTGAAGATTCTCCAAAGTAATCCCTTTTTGTGCTAATTCTTAATGAGTCATATGCTGCAAACTATGTGAGGTTAAGATAAATAATTGAAAACAAATTCATCCTTGGTTTTTATTTCGGGATGAAATATGCCCCCTGTTAATATTATAATTCTTGATGTATGCTGTTTGTGGTCTTCTTATGCCCAAGAGCCAATGTTGTGGTCAGAATTTATTTATTGTTTAGTATTACTCCCTCCCCTCATTAATCATGTGGGGGAAACAATTCCTTAATCTATAAGTCATGTTATCAAACCGATCTGTTTTGAGCATTTTGGGTATTGACTTATTCCATAGAATAGATTGCATGCTCATTCTACTATGAAAAACAATTTAAATATTTTAAAAAGGATTATTTCATAAAATGTGGTGAATGTAAATATGTTCTTTATATTCCAAAGCTTTTCCTATGATACATAACAGAAGACTTATTGGTCAAAAAACAGTTGCCGTTGCTACTAAAGAATTTTATTAAAGAAGGGAATAGCTTACCAACTCATCTCACTACCAAAAGCACAGAATCAAATGCTTTCTTTGCACCTAAAAATTTCAAGGTACCGATTTTTTTTTTGTAACTTTTCTTTTTTGTTCAAATAAGAATTTTAATTGATCATGTTAAGGTCTCTGCCGAAGTTCAACTGGCATTGACTGCAGACTGTGAGAATGTTTGACATGTTGTGTGCTTTTCCTAAAAGAACTTTTGGTTAAACTCTTTTCCCTAGTTTTACTATTTTTATCTCTAATTTTAAATACTAATTTGGACATTGTACATCTCATACAGTGTTCCAGATCTTGCCTCGGAAAGTGCACATGCAATCACAGGCTTCTCATAGAAATACAGAAAAAAGAACTTCGGGTAGGCATATGTGTATTTCCCAATAGGCTTCTACTGCATTTTGAGACAATATATGTTAGTTGGTTAATTTTTGTTATGTAGTTATTTAGGCTTTTAGCATGTATTTGGGCCTGGGCTCTTTTGCCTATATAAAGGGTCATTATGTTTGTAGTTAACAAGCAGCAACAATAATACAAATTAGTTAGATAGTTAGTTACGCATAACTAACTCATCATTCTCTCTTCTTTTTTTTCTTCTTCTTCTCCTTCTTGTTTTTCACAAAATCATCTTTCTTGAATCCTTTGTTCCAACAAATTGGTATCAAGAGCCTGTTTGCGATTCAGAGAGAATCTAATGGCAAAAGGATCAACAACATCAACACATTTTCCAGCGAATCTATCGGTTTTCAAAGGTGAAAACTATCAACGGTGGGTGACGCAAATGAAGGTTATTTTCAGATTTCAAGATGTTATAGAAATCTTGAATGATGGAATATCAGAACTGGAAGTAGATGCTATGGAAGTCCAGAAAGCTGCACACAAAGATCAGAGGAGGAAAGATGGCAAGGCGCTGTTCTTGATTCACCAGTGTGTGGATTATGACATATTCGAAAAGATAATTGAAGAAGAAACAACAAAACGAGCTTGACAAAAGCTGAAATCTTTGTATGGTGGAGATGAGAAACTGAAGAAGGTGAAGTTGCACACATTGAGGAAGCAGTATGAGATACTTCAGATGAAAGAGGATGAATCTATTTCTGCATATTTCTCAAGGATTGTGACGCTAACTAACCAGATGAAGGCGTGTGGTGAAGCGCTTACAGATCTGCAAAAGATAGAAAAGGTATTGAGATCCTTAATTGCAGATTTCGACTACTTTGTTGTGACAATTGAAGAGGCCAAATCTATCTGAGATGAAGTTGGAAGAACTTCAAGCTTCATTGTGGAGGCTCACGAAATAGACTGCAGCAGAGAAACTCAGAAAGAGAGAAGACAATTGAACAAGCATTGCAATCAAGATTCAGCAAAAAAGCTGGAAAAGAGAAGTCGAAGCAGCGAAAGAATCTTGCTGGTGATGAGAAGTCAAGCAAGAATACTGATTCGAAAGGTGTGGGCAACAAAACAAGTATTATGGGAAGAAAATTGACACGAAAGAGGTGCAATGTTATAATTGTCAAGGTTTTGGCCACTATGCTAGAGATTGTCGAAGAAAGAAAGCTGCGAGGTCGAAAGATAGTGATGAAGCTCAATATGCACGAACTGGAGATAGTGATTCTGATGATGTGTTGTTGCTGGTGAATGCTCAGTCGACTACTGAGAAAAACAACATGTGGTATCTGGATTCAGGATGTAGCAACCACATGACTGGCAATAAAAACTGGTTTACCAAGTTAGATGAGTCAGTCGAAAATGTGATAAAGTTTGCAGATGGCAGGCATATCAAATCAGGTGATAAAGGAGATATTTCGATTATCAGAAAGGATGGTCGAAAGGCTATTATCACTGAAGTTCTATATGTACCTTCGATGACAAGTAACTTGATAAGTGTAGGTCAATTACTTGCAAAAGGCTTCAATATGAAGTTGGAGAATAATCAGATAAAGGTATATAGGGCTGATCGGAGGCTAATAATGAAGGCACCATTGGCGGAGAACAAAATGTTCAAGGTTGAACTCAACACATCAGATCACAAACGTCTTGCTTCAACTGCAGAAGAAGACAAGAACTGGCTATGGCATCACAGGTATGGACATCTAAACTTCAAGAGTTTATGTATGCTCAATAAGAAAAGAATGGTGCTTGGGTTGCCGTATGTGAAGGAACCAAAGCAGATATATGAGGAATACTGCAGAGCCAAACGGGCAAGAAAGGCGTTCAAACGTGATTTGCCTATAAGATAAAACAAAAACTAGAGCTGGTTCATTCATATGTGTGTGGACCCTTTGAAGTAAAGTCCAATGGAGGTAACATGTATTTCCTTACTTTCATTGATGAATTCACCAGCCATATGTGGATTACCTTATTGAGAAGAAGAGTGAGGTATTCACACAGTTCAAGAAGTTCAAGTTGCATGCTGAGAAACAAAGTGGCTGCAAATTGAAGAAGTTAAGAACTGATGGTGGTGGTGAATATACTTCTGCTGAATTTGTTAGATTTTGCAATGAGGAAGGTATAAAACATGAGATTATTGCACCCTATACACCTCAGCATAATGGCATAGCTGAGAGAAAGAATAGAAGTATACTGAACAAGACGAGATGTATGTTGAAAGTTAAGAATATGCCAAAGAGATTTTGGGCTGAAGCAGCTTCGACAACAGTATACATTCTAAATAGATGCCCAACGAAGAAGATGGTCAAAAAGACACCGCATGAGGCTTGGACAGGGCCAAAGCCCTGTAAGTCATCTTAGAATTTTTGGGTCAATGTGTTTGAGACATGTACCTGAACAATTGAGAAAGAAGTTGAATGATCGTAGTGAAGTCATGGTGCTCATAGGTTATCATTCGACTGGTGCATACAAGTATTCGCCAATCGAAGATAAACTAGTGATCAGTAGAGATGTTCTTGTAGACGAAAGCAAAGGGTGGGATTGGAGTCGAAGTTCAGTTCGACAAGAATCAGACACAGTCACAACTGTGTTCGAAGAAGATAAACAGAACGAAGCTTCGACAAGTCAAAATGAAGAACCACCTGTGCAGAATGAAAGAAGATCCACAAGAACAAGAACTGAGTTGACTAGGCTGATTGGATATGAGAGATTTCCAGATCAAGCAATCGATGCAGATGGTGACTTAATCGAAGAAGCCATGATGATGGCTGAAGCAGAACCAATTGATTTGGGCGAAGCCTTGAGCAATTCTAATTGGTGTGAAGCCATGAAAGAAGAACTTAGAGCCATTGAGAAGAACAAGACTTGGGAGCTTGTCGAAAGAACCAACAAGAAACCAATTGATGTGAAATGGATCTACAAGGTGAAACGAAGGCCAATGGTGAGATTGCAAAGTATAAGGCAAGACTGGTGGCCAGGGGTTTTCTACAAAAACCTGGTATTGACTTCGATGAAGTATATGCACCTGTTACGAGAATCAAAACAATCAGGATTGTTGTTTCGATAGCTGCATGTAGAGGATGAAAAATGCACCAACTTGATGTGAAGTCAGCGTTTTTGAATGGTCCATTGGAAGAAGAAGTCTACGTTACTCAACCACCAGGTTTCGACGTCAAAGGGCAGGAGTCGAAAGTTTACATATTAAGGAAGGCTCTCTATAACTTGAAGCAAGCTCCTATAGCTTGAAATAAAAGGATAGGTAGCTTCCTAATCGAAGCAGGTTTCACAAAGTGTGTCTCTGAACATGGGGTATATGTAAATGATGTCGAAAGTGTCAATTGAATCATTTTATGTCTCTATGTTGATGACTTACTCATTACAGGAGCAGACGAAGCTGAGATAATGAAGGTAAAGTCAAAATTAATGCAGGAATTCGAAATGTCTGATTTAGGGAATCTCTCTTATTTCCTAGGAATGGAATTCAAAGACATCGAAGAAGGAGTTTTCTTGCATCAAACGAAGTATGCTGAAGATATACTGAAGAGGTTCAATATGAGCAACTGTAAGGCAACTGTTACTCCATTAGAGACTGGAGCAAAACTGAAAAAGGAATCGAATGATGAATTTGTAAGTTCGACCCTTTACAAACAAATCATTGGATCCTTGAGGTATCTTTGCAATACTACACCAGATATCTGCCAAAGTGTAGGATTGTTGAGCAGATTTATGGAGAAGCCTCAAGAATGTCATCTCATCGCAGTGAAGAGGGTGTTGAGATACATAAAGGAAACTATTGATCATGGTGTGCTGTTACCAAAGAAATCGAAGAACAGCTCAGATGTCGAAGTTCATGGATACACTGACTCAAACTTCAGTGGAGATCAAGACGAAAAGAAGAGTACTGCAGGATACATTTTCATGATCGAAGGAGCTCCAATCTCCTGGAATTCGAGGAAGCAAAGCATTGTGGTTTTTTCATCATGCGAAGCAGAATATGTGGCTGCATCATATGCTGCATGCCAAGCAGCATGGATTGATATGCTACTTGAAGAACTCAGGATAATGGGTTCGAAGATGAAGCTGTTTGTTGATAACAAGTCAGCTATAAATCTTGCGAATCACCCAGTGTGTCATGGTCGAAGTAAGCATATTGAAAGAAGGTATCATTTTCTAAGGGATCAAGTCAACAGAGGGAAGCTTGAAATAAAACATTGCAAGACAGAAGTGCAACTAGCTGACATATTCACCAAACCTCTGAAGAAAGTAAGGTTTGAAGAGTTAAAGAAAGGCATTGGGATGAGAAGTCTTGATAACATGAATTAGGGGGTGTGTTAGTTGGTTAATTCTTGTTATGTAATTATTTGGATTTGGGCCTTGGGCTCTTTTGCCTATATGAAGGGCCATTATGTTTGTAGTTAACAAGCAGCAACGATAATACAAATCAGTTAGATAGTTAGTTACGCATAACTAACTCATCATTCTCTCTTCTTCTTCTTCTTCTTCTTCTTCTTCTTCTTCTTCTTGTTTTTCACAAAATCATCTTTCTTGAATCTTTTGTTCCAATAATATATATTACATACCTTTAGTTTAAGCATGAAACAACCTGCATTTTTGAGACAATAATGGTAAATCACATATTTATTCAGGATCTTAAAGCTTTGAAGTTGAGAATTAAGAGTGAGTTTGAAGAGATGCAATCACAGGTTCAAAGGTTTTTCAATGATATAGGTATGCATACCTATTAATTTTGCAAGCTTCTTAACTTTCATATCATCATTAACAAAATAAGAGATAATTTTTACTGATTTTGGGATGCTTCATGAATCCAGGTAGTCAAGTAAATGAGATGTCAGCCAAAGCGGTTGGGTATCACAAAGTAGTGGAAGAGAACAGAAAACTATACAACATGGTCCAAGATTTGAAAGGTTGATTTAGTTAATCGTGCTTAAAATATAAAGGGTCACTTTCTTTTCTAAGTTGATTTTGCTTACTTTTTCAAATTGCAGGTAATATCAGAGTATACTGCCGAATCAGACCTGCGTTCAGTGCTGAATCCAAGAATGTGGTTGATTTCATCGGTGAAGACGGTTCTCTATTTATTTTAGATCCATCAAAAACATCAAAAGATGGAAGAAAATCTTTTCAGTTTAATAGGATTTTTGGTCCAACAGCTGGGCAAGGTAGAATTCTAATCTAACCATTACTTCCCCTCTCTATTTTCCCTCTCTGTTAAAATTTACTATTTTGAATTCAGATGAGGTTTATAGAGACACTCAACCATTAATTAGATCTGTGATGGACGGTTACAATGTCTGTATTTTTGCTTATGGTCAAACTGGATCTGGGAAGACTCATACCATGGTAAGATATTTGATATAAACTTGTTTAAGTTAGACTATAGATCTGTTTAAATTGAATTAGAAATAAGATAAATGTTATTTTATGTGTATTATTTATCTTAGCCATTAATCCATGCAAGAACCCAACCATGAATGTTTTACTATATTTGCACACTTATAGCCAAAATATGCCTCATCTAATATTTTTACCATGTGCAGAGTGGTCCTTCAGGTGGAACATCCAAAGATATGGGGATTAACTATCTGGCTCTTAATGATTTATTTCATATGTCTAATGAAAGGGAGGCTACTATAAAGTACGACATTTATGTTCAAATGGTTGAGATTTATAATGAACAAGTAAGAGACCTACTTGCCGAAGACAAAACAGAAAACAAATATCCTTTACCATATACCTATTATTATTCATTAGGTCAGAAATAGTTTTTCATTCTTTTGTTTTAAAGACTAGGTAGAGAAATCTGTTTTATTTTTAGTATTTTGATCTTACTGTTTGCGAGTAGTTTGTCTCCTTAACTAACCTCAAATTAGAGATCCGAAGCTGCAACGACGATGGTTTAAGTCTCCCGGATGCTAGAATGCTGTCAGTGAAATCTACAACAGATGTTATGACCCTTATGAAATTTGGCGAGGTAAATCGCGCTGTTAGTTCTACTGCAATCAATAATAGGAGTAGTCGCTCCCACAGGTGAGTTTTCACTTTTCAGAATTGCTAGTGATTTAATTCCTTTCTATAATGCTTAGTGATTTAATTCACTTTTGTTTGGTTTAGGCACTTATTGATAAAGTTTTTTCATGTGTCAGTGTACTTACTGTACATATTAATGGCAAAGATATTACTGGCAACTCCATTCGCAGTTGCCTTCATTTAATAGATTTGGCCGGAAGTGAAAGGGTGGACAAGTCTGAAGTCACGGGAGATAGACTAAAGGAAGCACAGTATATTAACAAGTCTCTTTCTTGTTTGGGAGATGTGATCACAGCATTAGCACAAAAGAATTCTCACATTCCTTACCGGAATAGCAAACTTACACTTCTTTTGCAAGATTCCTTAGGTACGTACAGTAGTGTAGTACATTATGTCAAAGAAACACTTTGGAGACTCTATTTTGGTTTTTTCACCATATGACAATATGTTTACGTTTTCTCTGAAAATTTCTACATTATAGGCGGACATGCTAAAACTTTGATGTTTGCGCACATGAGTCCCGAAACAGATTCTTTTGGTGAAACAGTGAGTACTCTAAAGTTTGCTCAGAGGGTTTCCACTGTGGAACTTGGGGCAGCCCGAGTAAATAAAGAAAGCAGTGAGGTTATGCAACTTAAAGCACAGGTAGGAGTGTGATGGGTCTTAATGCACAAAATAGTGGTAAAAAGGATATAACAGTAGAATATATGAGTAATGAAACTGCAATTGTATTGCTATGAGATCCACAATTACAGAAATATAGTAATAGAGAAATAGGAAAATGACAAACTGGTAATAGTTACCCAATTCCCAAGCACTCAGTGCTCCCAAATCACCAACAGGTGACCCCACCAAATCCTAACTGAATTCCTTCCTGATTATTCCCTTCCAGCTATAGATATATATAGTCACTCTCATGCACTTCATGCGTTCCTCATGCATTCACAGCCACGTCATCATCTTTCATTCCTTTTGTCTTCTTCCTAGTGTAAACTCTCCACACCCTTGGCCTAGGCCCCACTTCACTAATCACATTTCTATCACCTCCCACCTCCTTAGACAATGCCTTGTCCTTGAGGCAAAATTCAGGAAACTGGCCACGCAAAAATTCATTATCCTCCCATGTTACATCCTCTAAAGCTTTGTTTTTCCATTGTATCAAGGTCCGCTGAACCTCATTACCCCCCTGCACTATGACTCTTGAACCCAACACCTTGTATGGGTACACATTAGTCTCCTCAGTCACTTCCAAATCTTTAGGTAACTCTCCCTGTACCTGATAGTTCCCAACAACTCGCTTGAGTAGAGACACATGAAAAATTGGATGAATTGAGACACATGAAAAATTGGATGAATTCTAGATGTTGATGGTAGTTTCAACCTGTAGGCTACTTCACCAATCTTCTCCGCCATCTGGAAAGGTCCATAGAATCTTGCCGCGAGTTTCTAATAAATTCTTTTTACCACTGACTGTTGTCTATGGGGTCTAAGTTTCAGAAAGACCCATTCTCCAACTTCAAAACATAAATCCCTCCTCTTCTTGTTAGTATACTTTGTCATTTGTTCCTGAGCTTTGAGCAAGTGAAGTTTGAGTTGATTCAAAGCCTCATCTCTTTCACTCAACTCCAATGCCACAGCCACCTTAGTCTCATTAGACAAAAATCTCAACAATGCAGGAGGTTGTCCCATATACCACCTCGAACAGAGTCTTCCTAATTGACACATGAAAGGTAGTGTTGTACCAAAACTCAGCCCAAGAGACCCACAATGACCAAGTCTTTGGATGATCAGAAGCAAAGCACCGCAGATAACTTTCCAGACACCTGTTAACTACTTCCGTTTGACCATCTGTTTCCGGGTGATATGCTGAACTCATTTTCAGCTTAGTACCCTGCAACTTGAACAGCTCCATTCAGAAATGACTCACAAATAAATGATCTCTATCACTGATTATAGAACTTGGAATTCCATGAAGTCTCACCACTTCTTTAAGTAAAACAAAATGACTATACTTAGATAGTCTATCCACGACCACTAACACAGCCTCATAACCTTTAGACTTAGGCAACCCAGTGATAAAGTCTAAGGACAAGTTCTCCCACACACCGTTAGGAATAGGTAGAGGCTGTAACAAACCACCAGGAGTAGTAGCACTATACTTTTGTCTCTGACAAACATCACATCTAACATAATCCCTTACACTCCTCTGCATCCCCACCCAATATAAGGAATTTGCCAGTCTTCGGTATGTTCTTAGAAAACCTGAGTGCCCTCCAGCAGGAGTACTATGAAATTCTTCCAATAGCCAAGGAATAGAGGGTGATTCGGGGGAAATCACCAGTCTGCCATGATAAAGTAAAACTCCTTGTTTCACCTGAAACCCAGGTCTAACATCAGGAGACTCCTGCACTTCTTTCATTAACTTTTAAACGTACGGGTCATTAGTTATTTCATCCAAAAGTTTCTGTCTATCAGCCTGACATCTGGACAGATCATCAGCAGCTCTATTCTCTAAGCCAGGCTTGTACTTGACTTCAAATTGATAGCCTAGCAGTTTGGCCAACCAACACTGCTGATCTGGAGATGAAACTCTCTGTTGTAAAAAATGCTTCAAGCTTTTATGATCTGTGTGCATAATAAATGCTCTGCCCAATAAATAATGTATCTAGTGCTGAATACAAAGCACAAGGGTCATTAATTCCTTCTCATAGACAGATTTTGCCAGATTCCCATCAGATTACACTTTACTGAAGAAAGCAATAGGTTGTCTCTGCTGCATTAGAACAACACCTATACCTCTGCCAGCCGCATCACACTCAACTTCAAAAGGTAAATCAAAATTTGGAAGAGTTAGCACAGGGGGAGAAGTCATGATTCTCTTCATCTCATCAAAAGCCTTGAAATGTCTATTCCCCAAGAAAAATTGTCTTTCTTAGTCAAATCTGTGAGAGGTTTTGCTATTTTACCATAATCCTGGATAAACTTTCTATAATACCAGTGAGTCCCAAAAAACCGCGTACCCCCTTCACATTCTTTGGTGTAGGCCATGCAAGAATACTCTTCACCTTTTCAGGGTCCACTGCCACACCTTCTCCAAAAATGATATGGCCAAGATAATCAATTTGAGCACAACCACACCTGCATTTTGCTTGATTTGCCACAAAACAATGCTCAACTAAAATAGACAAAACCATCTTCAAATGCATTTGGTGTTCCTTGATATCTCTACTGTAAATCAAAATATCATTAAAAAACACCAAGACAAACTTTCTCAAATATGGCCTAAAAATGTCATTCATGGTAGCTTGGAAGGTAGCTGGGTCATTATGTATTCTAAACGCCGTTTTAGGGATGTCATCCTCATGCACTCTAATTTGATGATACCCAGATTTTAGATCAATTTTAGAGAACACAGTAGCTCCATATAGTTCATCTAACAACTCATCAACTATAGGGATTGGGTACTTATCTGGTATTGTAGCTTTATTTTTAGGGCCTTGTAGTCTACACACATTCTCCAACTCTTGTCTTTCTTCTTGACTAATATCACAGGACTTGAAAATGAATTCATACTCGGCCGAATAACTCCAGCTTTCAACAGTTCTGACACTTGCTTCTCAATTTCTTCTTTTTGGTGATGAGGGTACCTGTAGGGTCTGACATTAATGGCACCATGATCAGGATAAAGCTTAATCCGATGCACCTGACTCCTCTCAGGAGGTAGCTGAATGTTGTCTCCGAACACTTCCTGGAATTCTTCTAGTATAGGGTTTAAGCCTTTGGGAACAACTGACCTGGTTGCTTCCAATGAGCCCACCACCATCCTAACTCAGTTCTGCTATGAGTGTCCTCAAGATAGGAGTTCAGATAACATTGTCTTACCACCATGCTGCCTTGACCTTGCAATTTCACCAACGCATTTTCATAAGAAAATTGCATAGTCATGGCCTTCCAATCCATAATCACCTTCCCCAGAGTGCTTAACCAGGAAACTCCTAACACCATATCCATTGCCCCTAGCTCCAACACCCGCGCATCCACAATCACTTCAATCCCTCCCATCTTCATATTGACCCCTTTACACACTCCATTTGTTATCACCTTATGACCGTCACCAAGCTTGATACTCTAAGCTGCGGTAGGTGTGATGACTAGACCCAAAGCAGTAGTCACTTTTGGAGAAATGAAATTGTGGCTCGCACCACTATCAATCAACACCAAATCTACATTCTGTATCTTCCCTTCAACCTTCATGGTGTGAGACTCACCCATGCTTCCCAATACCCCCATCAGTTTACATTCCACCTCCACTTCTTCTTCACTTCCCACCGTCACGTCCTCCATACTCACAATTTCCCCTTCCTCTGTCATGGTTTCACCTTCTCCTAAGATTAGAACCCTAGCTCGTTCTGGACATTTGTGCAACGTAGAGCGGTATTTTCCCCCACATTTGAAACATAGACTAGACCCTTCGCTCCCCTCTCTTCGAATTCATCATTGTGGATACTTCGTATTCCCTTCCACCTCTTCGTCGTGCCGGAACGCGGATCCCCGTCGTTTTTTCGAGCTGAGGAAACCAAAGACGAAGTTGAATTTGTGTTGGATCCAATCGAACTCGTTTTCTGACTCGGGTTTGACCCACCCGACTGAAACGAACGAGTTGCATCCTTGGGATGGGACTCACCTTTACTCCTTAGTAACCCGGCCCAATCCTTCTGGCCCACACCCTCGTACCCCCTTTTTCTTACATCACGACGCTCACCATCATCATCTTCCTCCTTCAATTCCTCTTCAACATCTTTCGCAATTCTCATCGTCTCCATCCTATTTCGAGGATTCAGAGTGCACCCTCCTCCGAAGTTGGGGTTTCAAACCACTGATAAAATATCCCAGGTATTGTTCTTCAGGAAGCCTTCCAACTTGTGATGACAACAGCTCAAAAGCTTCGACGAATTCCTCCACACTTCCCTTCTGCCTCAACGTCGAAAGCTCCTCGAACAGATTCTCCAGACGACGTCCTCCATAACGAGCAATTAACGATCGCTTCAGCTTCTCCCATGACAACTCATCTTATGTCTCCATCAACAAGTTGAACCTTCCATGCTCAGGCGAGCCAACTTCACACGCATAACATCCGATGTATTCTGAACATCGAAATAAATTTCGGCCCGTGTAATCCAAGCCACAAGATCATCACCATCAAACAGAGGTAACTTCACCTTCTTCTCGGCGAGGCGAGATTCACTCTGTGCAGAATCACCAACAGAGGTTTCCCCTTCTAGAGTCTCTCATTTCTTTCCGATTTGTTTGCTTAATTCTACTAGAACCAAGCTTTGTTGATGCATTTGCTGAGCGTGTTGCTGCAACTGTAAAGCGAGCTCTTGCAGCGTTGTTGTCACATTCCCCATCTGTGTCTCCAAAGCGTCAACTCAGTCACTCATCTTAGGCTTCCTTGGCATCTACAATCTTCTTCGTTGTGTGAGTTTTGATCCGGCAGGTCGGACCAACAAAATAGTGGTAAAAAGGATATAACAGTAGAATATATGAGTAATGAAACTGCAATTGTATTGCTATGAGATCCACAATTATAGGAATATAGTAATAGAGAAATAGGAAAATGACAAACTGGTAATAGCTCCCAATTCCCAAGCACTCAGTGCTCCCAAATCACCAAGAGGTGACCCCACCAAATCCTAACTGAATTCCTTCCTGATTATTCTCTTCCAGCTATAGATATATATAGTCACTCTCATGCACTTCATGTGTTCCTCATGCATTCACAGCCACGTCATCATCCTTCATTCTTTTTTTCTTCTTCCTAGTGTAAACTCTCCACACCCTTGGCCTAGGCCCCACTTCACTAATCACATTTCTATTAGAGTGTCTATTGTAAGTTACAATACATCTTTTGGCTGCTTCTTTGTGCATTTGAAAAGTTAAAGTAAACATGTTTTTCTCTTTTTTTGTATGAATGCTAGGTTGAAAACCTTAAGACGCAATTGGCCAACAAGGAAAATTCAAGACCGATGTTCAATAGAACTAAAGAACCTCGGACTCCATTAGAAAAAACTCCACTGCGACCTCGAAGACTTAGTATTGAAAATTCTAGCATGACAAAGACTGACAAACCTGTGAAAGTTGAGGATAAAAGTGGAGCCAAGTCACCTTCTTACATTCCCCGTTCAAGAAGACTAAGCTTGGAAGGTGCAAGAACTATAAAAAAAGCTGCTGATGTAAACAAAACTTTACAGTTTGAGGCAATGTATCAACAGAAATATCATCCACAGCAAGATCAAGCAGCAGTGTCAAACCTAAATGGCCAATTGAGCAATGAGATTTTCATATCAGAGTTGCATGTTGAGGATAAAAGTGGAGCCAAGTCCTCTTCTTACATTCCCCGTTCAAGAAGATTAAGCTTGGAAGGTCCAAGAAATATAAAAAAAGCATCTGCTGATGTAAGCAAAACTTTACAGTTTGAGCCAATGTCTCAACAGAAATATCATCCACAGCAAGATCCCGAAGCCGTAGCAAAGCTAAATGGTCGATTGAGCAATGAGAGTTCCACATCAGCGTTGCATGCTAAATTTCCTCCAAGTCCTTCTACAAACATCTATCCGAAGAGTTTGATAGAAGTTGATAATGTGGTCCAAATCCACCCTGTTAAACTACCTCAAACACCTGAATCAACACTGCTAGATAAAAATGATTCAAACAAAATTTTGCCAGGCGACCTTGGTGATTCCATAACAACAAAGGGGATAGGTAGCACGAGCGGAAAAGGGTCCCAGTTCAGAAGATCTCTGAGAACAATTGGGAAACTGATTAGTGGCCCTGATAAAAGGTATTTTTGGAGTTTTTAACCCTTTTCACTTTGAAAGATGCTTTCAACTTTTATACTGAATCTTCTACTTTGAAAAAATTATGCAGAAGCCAACAAACTATGGTTGAAGTGAAGTCACCTACCAAGGGAGGCATTCATGTAAGTCAGATAAATTCGCCAGTAGCAACTAGTGAGAAGACAAAAAGGAGGCAATCTTTAACAGGAATTCCATCCGGGCCTAACAATAGGCGAAGATCCTCTCTTGGAGGGAAGCCAGACCCCGTAGCATGTAAGTTAAAACGACAGAATTGCAAAATCATGCAGACGTATTTGATCTCTTGAGAAATAAAAAGTACTTATTTGACCCCCAAAAGTCATTTATATTGTCAAGAATCATTTTTGAGCCTTTATTACTCTTAATATTAATACTAAATCCGTAATTGTATTTGGGTGTGTAGATGATGAGAAGGAGAGAAATGCCAAAACGCCTCCTCATGTTCGTTCAGAAAGCAAGACTGCAAAAAGGTGGCAATAGATGATAAGTGCTTTAACTTGAAGCACACCAACATGCTCCGATTGGAGTTTTTCTGTTTTTACGTCAACAAAGTTATTTGGTGACTTTGTAACTTTCTATTTGGCTCCCTTAAACTCAATCATTCAACAAATAATTTATTTTAATTATTCTTTCATCTCTCAAAAGTTACAAAATCACCATAAAAGCCAAGTCTCTCAACGCTCTCCTCTCTTTCCTGTCTAGATACAGAATAAAAAAATCCAAGGGGTCTTACCTTGTAATAATAGGGACTGGGTTTGCCTCCAGATCAACAGGTCCCTGCAGTCACACAGTCATGTCATCATGTGTTGTTTAAGGAAGATATTTTTTAAGTTATTATATCAATTTTAAATCAGTTTATTTTACACTATATGATCAAGATCTAATGGCCATAAGCATTCTAAATGCGTGATTGCGTGAAAACTCTGACCACAGAGAATCCATTTTTTAATAATAGTGACTTACAAACACATAAATTTAAAATTTCAATTTGATCACTGAGGTTAATAACTTGTTATGTTGTTTAGCAATATCTAACATGATGGCCTCAAAATTGGACTTTTAGGTAAAGTCACATATACGGCAGTTTAAAACAAAATCCATGGCATGCCATCCCCATTTTATACATGTCATTCTCCGACATGGCGCAATTATGAAAATATTTCTGAAATATATTAGAAGTTTTGAAATTTTCAGTTTCGTATCGGAAATTTCACGTAAATACTGGAAATTTCGTTAAATTTCTAAGTTTTCACCGTACTAGTTGGTTGACACTGGAAATTTGAAATTTCTGGTATCAAATATTCCAAATTTTTAGTGTTTTTCAATATTAAAATGACAAATCGGAAATTTGAAATTTTCGGTGCATGAAAAATACCAGAAATTTAAATTTTTTTGGTATTTTTTGTATTCTAAATACAAATCGGAAATTTGAAATTTCTGATGCATAAAAAATACGGGAAATTTCAAATTGTCGGTAATACCGGGACTTAAAATTTTTTTTTTTTAAACTATTACTTGAATAAAATACATTATGAAATAGTGAATCGACTAAATATATAAATAGAATAATTGTCATACATAGTTACATAAAAAAAAACTACAATCACGGCTTAGCCAATTCTTCTTAATGCCTGAAGCGGCCCGCATATGCTGATTCTCATGCTTTTACATTATTAGAACAATTTTGCCTCCATCTCTTAGTGATGGGAGACAGTGGACAATCGGGTTTCAACTTCACCTAAACCTAATGATTTTCGTTGACAAAACACACAACAATGATTGTATGCCGACTCGTGTATGGGGGTGGAGCTATGAGAAGTGGGAAAAATGTTATGTTAAGTCTCATGGAAAGGGAAACAAATACAACATTATATCTAGAAGCAATAGGGTAACCCATATCAAAAATCGACATCCATTTATCCCTACCCTGCTTACGTAAGTGAGTGACTTGTAACGAAGTCCTAACCTCTGAGACAGTGTCATAGAACAACTTGGAAAACAAGTTATAGTGTTGATAGATTTGAGTATCCAATTGCTTCCGAACCGAATAACATGCTTCTTGCCCCCATCCTAATAAAGATGAAATGCAACGGTAACCACAACTCCCATCATTCTTAATATCAATCATGTCATCGATGTATGGATGAAAGAAAGCAGGAAACTGTGACAAATACTCAGCTCTTAAAGATTTGGTAGAAGGTTGCTTACCAATCAACATGGTTGATGATTGACTTCCAATTGGTTTTATGCACGATCTCTTTGTAGTTTGATTCCCCTGCAAAGGTGCATCATATTCCCACTGGCTAGGATCACGATGCGCATCACTCTCCTCACCCTTTCTACTCTTCTTAATTCCCTTCTTTGGCTTGTATTTCATCGGCGGTGGATACATTGAAGTTGTAGATGAATAAGTTAGATCACAAACTTTTTTCTTCAACACCCTCTGACCCACAATATCCAAAGTACTGAAATAACTTTTCAACTCTTCACACACTTCTTCTAAATTCCACTTACTCTCATCAGGACTCGCATCATGTTCTGTAATGTGCAATTTCCTCCAAAATACATGAATTGATTCCAAAGGTATAGGGGTGCCTAGAATTTGGAAACCGACAAGCTGACACACACACGATAACCCATGTGTTGTCCTAATGTAACAACCACACCTGTCCTTGCTTGCACCAACAAATTTTACTCTTTCCAGTTCCTTTCCAATGAGTTGTATACATTGTCTTGAGACAAAACTGTGCAATTTAGAATAAAATGGGGGTGTTATACTTATGTTCAATGTTGGCGATACTTTTTTGAAATGACACTCTGAAGGAACCTAGATGCAACTTCAACATCGTGTTCACAGTATCTCAACTTCCACATAAATCACCACGACTTGTAGTCAACATGTTCTTTAGTCTCCAATGTGCAGACTCCATATTAGAAATTATGAACATATTATCTAAACAACTTTCAAATTAATATATAAACGTAAACATATTTTCATATTAATCCAATATACTTGTTTGTTGTTGTGTTCTCTAAGTGAGTGATTATGTTAGTCCATGCAGCAACAAATCTTTCTTTATATGTTGTTAACCATGTTTCTTTCACATACTTGACAAATGAAGGAATATCACCACAAATACTCTCGAAGTGGTTGAGATGTACATCAAAATCGTCTTCTGTATTTGAATACATGATGTTGTTCCATTGATTCATGACATGTTCTTGTCTTTTGAACTTCATATACTCTTTACATTTCATGCTCATATTTTTTGAAATATAGAACGTACACAACAAATGAGTTGCATTTGGATACACATAATCAATGGCATTCATTAATGCAAGTTCCCGGTCCGTAACCATAACATTTGGTAGCAATTTCTCTGAATAGAACAACTCTTTGAGCTTCTGTAGTGCCCATGTGAAGTTCTCCTCCCTTTCATGTTCCAAATAGGCTAAAGCAACTGAAAACATCAATTTTGTTGATATAACACCAACAATCTCCAGCAGTGGTAGCCGGTACCTACATGATTAAAATGCATATTCATCAACCAACTCATTCAACATGTTTTAGGATGGTATAAGTAAAATTCTTACCTATTTGTCGTGTATGTGCAATCAAAAATTAACACCAGAGAAAATATATTCAACAATTTCAGAGTTAGGGTGTGTCCAGAAGATATCAACCATAATATCTGAATTCTCCCTGTTTCTAGTCCAACACATGTATTTCTATTGATGAATAAGACTCAATAGCATTTGCATTTCTGTCATTGCACCTCTCTTGCCCATTCTGTATGTTGCTTTAGCTCAGTATACCTGGGTAATACTCGTGAGATTTTATGGGTCTTTGTCTTTCAAAGCAGACGCGATGTACCTTGGTGCCATGTTGTACTTCGTCATGTCATTCACAAACTTTCTTTCATGATCTTTTAGACGGCCCAATGTATCATGACCTTCCAAATACTTATCTAGTCTATGATTATGCAAGCCACATCTAATCATCACCTTCCAACCGATTCCACTTGGAACAGATCTCAGACTAAATGGGCATCTAACCTTGATAGTATAATTTCTATCAGAAAGTTTCACAGATTCATTTTTCTTTTTGTAATTTCCTCCTCTGTCACAACCTAGAATCAATTTATCCTTCCTCCCTTGCATCCCATTAGCAGTATCAGACCAAATTGTAACAACAATAATACCATGATTTTTCCAGTAGACAGTGCCCATTCTAGAACTTTATCTCGTGATTCAAAAATATGGCAATTATAAAAACATTAGTAAACTTATTAATTTACAAAAAAACTATGTAATTGTGTAAATGGTATAGAAAACATATGGTATATCTGATGAAGAACTTCGTAAGATCAGTACATGAATCCGTAGAAGAAACTGAAGCTGCCGATTCAGGACCGCAAAGATATAAAACTTCATCTGTAGACATACTGGAAATTTAGAAAATTTCCGGTACGTGTAGAACTTTTGTAAAATTAATCGTAAATTATAAAATTTCTGGTATATCGCAATCGAGAATTTCGAAATTTCTGGTATATCACTACCGGAAATTTGTGAAATGCAAAGAATTTTTGGTATGCGACAAAAAGGGGTACCAGAAATTTGCTAAGAGTACCAAAAATTTCGAAATTTAACTCTTTAACCAATAGTAAATTTTTTTTTACAAAAGTAAAAAATTTAGAGTAAATAGTGAAAGGGATAATTTGGGGATACTGAAAATTAGGGGAGTGACATGTATAAAATGGGGGGTGTCATGTTAAATTCTCATCGGTAAGTCAAGTCATTTGAGGCAAGTCTTATATCCCAAAGTTTAAAGCCTACCCTCATAATTATTTCAAAATTAAACCCTTTTCCCATAATAACTAAGGATGATTTTGAGGCAAAACCCTAATCTTTTGAGTCATATTTCTCGTCATCAACTAATTAAATTCTATATTGAATCATTACAAACGAATGATTTTGAGGCAAAACTCTAACCTTTTAAGTCAAATTTCTCGTCATCAACGAATTAAATTCTATATTGAATCATTACAAACGAACACTAAGATAATCTCTTAATACACTATAGGTACTTGAAAAATATCCTATGTAATTCTCAAAAAAACCCTCAGTTTTCGGAGATGTATCTTTGGATGCACTTATTTTTTATTTAACGTTAGTTTGTTCCGGAGATACATTTTTGTAAATTACTCAGAGATATATCTTTGTATTTTATGCAGACAGTAATCATAAATTATTTTGTAAATGCTTCTCTTATTAAATAGTTAGAAGGTATTCTAAGATTCGACCAAACTAAGGATATGAATAAAACGACATATATAAAGTTATAAGTCAAGATTACATAAATCTAATTCAGAAGTTACAACAAAGTCGATATATGTAATACAACCAAAAATGTATCAAGAGTACAAATGACATAATCTACTGCATATGACAAACTATGAGTCGGCCTTGCCCTTGTCCCA